TATTTGCATATCTAAACATAGAAAAGGAACAGTAAAAATACAGTATAAAAGAGTTTTAAAACCTGTATACCTGGATAGGGTATTTACCATGAATGGAACTTGGAGGACTGGAAGTTGCTCTGGGTGAGTCAGTGAGTGACCAGTGAGTGCATGTGAAACCTAGGACATTACTGTACACTATTGTAGACTTTATAAACACTATACACTTAGGCTGCACTGTTTATTTAAAATATTTTTCTTCAATAATAAGTTAACCTTAGTTAACTGTAGCTTTTTTTACTTTATAAAACTTTATAAACTTTATAAAATTTTATAACACTGTAGCTTTTTTGACTTTCGACTCTTAAAATAACACTTAGCTTAAAACATACATTGTATGGCTATACAAAAATATTCTTTCCGTATATCTTTATAAGCTTTTTCTAATATGGTTTTTTTTAACTTTTCAACTTTTTAAAATTAAAAATGAAGACACAAACACACACATTAGCCTAGGTCTAAACAGGGTCAATATCACTGACTTCCACCTCCACATATTGTCCTTCCGGAAGGTCTTCAGGGGGAATCATACATATGGAGCTGTCATCTCCTCTGCTAACAATGCTTTCTGGAATATCTCCTGAAGAACCTACCCAAGACTGTTTTACAGTTAACATTTTTAAGTAGAGAGGGCACACTCTAACATAATAATAAATAGTATAGTAAATACACAAACCCGTAACAGTTATTTGTCATCAAGTATTTATCATCAACTATATTAAGTATTAAGCACTGTACATGGTTGTGTGTGCTATACTTTTATAAAACTCACAACACAGTATAGCCACAAACATGAGTAATGTGTTGCACTATAGTGTTATGACTGCTACTATGTTACTAGGCAATAGTAATTTTTCAGCTTCCTTATAATCTTACAGGATCACCATCATATCTGCTGTCAGTCATTGACCAAAACATCGTTATGCAGTGGGTGACTATATTTATTTGACATTTAGTCTGGGTCACTGACACAAATGCCTGTAAACACACACACAGACACACTCATACATACCCCTCACATTCTAGCTTCTGCAAGTAGGGGAACCCTCAGCCTTTGGTTCTCAACAAAAAACCCAGAGGTTACCCTTGTGCATACTGATATGAACACAGACCCATCAGGAAGAAAGTTTGAGATTCGAAGTGTATCACTGGTAGGGTGAGTAGATGAGCAGGGTGTTTAAAGAGACGTTTGGAGGTTCTTACCTCACTTCTCTGCAGTATGAAATGGGCGACCTTTCAACTCAGCCACTACTAAAAGGTGAGCCTTTGTGCCATCTATGAGATGTCTCATAAGTTGCCAACCCGTGTTGTAGAAAATTAAGGAAGAGTAAGCTAGTGTGATTTTTTTTACCCCCAAATAACCTCATAAATATTTTGCTTTTTTATGTTATTCAAGAAACTTTGCAACATTTCCCCTCATCATGTATAATCTAGGGTCTCCAAAAGGCTGTAGACTTTTTCCCCTGAGATCCCTGCCTTTTTTTTTTTTTTTTTTTGGTGACAGGCTGGGGCTTAGATATTCCAGGCTCTTCACTGGACTGTCTTTTTGGGAGGTCAGGACAACAGGGGTCTTTAATTAAAGGATAAGTTGATGGAACTGGTCACTTGCAGGTCAGCTCTGAAGCCCAATTCACATTCAACTAATCACAAGTGGCTGATGTTGAGGATCAGAGAGGGGCGCAGCTGGCACTTCCTGATCTGAGGATGGCTCTTAGAACCAAGGAACTGTCCAATCTCTTAGGATGATTCAGTGGTCCTGAGAGTGTTGATATGTTTCAAATTGGCCTATCACTGACATTTGGGTGACTGCAAATTCAGAGCCAGAAGAAAGAATGGTTGTCAAAGTTGGAATTTAAAATGGTGGCCCATTTATACTTGTCCATAGTTCATATAGTAAATAATAATAGTAAGTTATTTTAAAACCTGGATAGCATATTCTTTCCAAAGCAGCTTGCCATTCTCTGAACCAGTGGCTTCTGTTGGCTACCAATGCTTGCAAAACATTGATTTAAAATGACTTCTTTTCGTGTTAACAGAGTATCAATGTGGAAGGAGTAAACTTATAGGCTATTTTTATAATTTGAGATTATATTTTTTAAGTAGAAAGCTTATAATTATCTCATGTATCCCAGGGGAAAAAAGAGCTTTCCCCACCCCTTTTCTGTTAGTATGATAAATTATTTTGCTTTAAACAAGAGAAATGAAAGCTTATAAAAAATATATATATAAGGAGATACATCATTGGGAGGCTGAGGCAGGCAGGATCACCTGAGGTCAGGAGTTTGAGACAAGCCTGACCAATATGATGAAACCCTGTCTCTACTAAAAATACAAAAATATTAGCCAGATGTGGTGGCATGCGTTTGTAATCCCAGTTACATGGGAGGCTGAGACAGGAGAATAGCTTGAACCTGGGAGGCAGAGGTTGCAGTGAGCCAAGATCACGCCATTGCACTCCAGCCTGAGCAACAATAGCGAATCTCCAACTCCAAAAAAAAAAAAAAAAAAAGGAGATAAATAATGTTCAAGGAAAAAGCAAATAGAATTACTATAGGGAAGAAGAGGCAGGAAAAGAAACTTGAAACAGGCTAAAAGATTCATTTGTCCTCAAGTGAAAGATTTTTCATCAAGAAAAATGAAGAATTATCAGACTTCAGTTATATAAACCACACAGGGTTAAGGGAAATGCTCGTGTTTACAAATCCTAGAACATTAGAAATACTTTAAAAGAAATACTGTTTCATATTTTTGCATATTTGAGAGTCTCAGATCCCTAAAATGAACTTGGCAGCAAATACAGTTTAAACAGGAAACCAAAGATCGCAAGTACAAATATGTATGTCACTATTTCCATTTCTATACCCATAGCAGACATTATCAAGTGATCAGGTGGTTGTTTCCAACTAGATATGCACTCTGAAATCCTTTTCAGTAGATGACCCTTAAGATGAAACCCTTTTTCTGTATGTGGTTTAACCTTGCTACTCAAAGTGTGATCTTCAGAACACCAGCATGGGCATCATGTGAGAACTTACTCAGAAAGCAGAATCTCAGCCCCATTCTAGACCAGCTAAATCTGAATCTATATTTTAGCAAAATCCCCAGGATTTTTATGCATATTAATGTTTAAGAAGTTTTGGAGGTATACTGAACGCATGATATATTCATTAAGGCAGAAGATCTCAAACTTTAGACTCAACAAGACAGAAAATTAATAAGGATATCCAGGACTTCAACTCAGATCCGGAACAAGTAAACTCAATAAATATTTATAGAGTTCTCCATTTTAAATCACAAAATATTGATCGGCCATTATGAATACCCATTTTTAGAATGAAGCAATATTCCTGTTCTCTCTCCCTCTTTTTCTTCCTCTTTCTTCCTCTCCTTCTCTCCTTTTTTTACTTTTCAACATCCTAGTTCCTCACCTCTACTCAAAAAAAAAAAAAAAGAAGATCTCAAACTTTAGTATGCATCATAATCACTAAGTTAGACACTGCTGAAGCAGAGAGTGCTGGGCCCCATCCCCAGAGCTTTTCTTTCAGTAGGTCTGGGGTGGGGTTTTCAAACAAGTTTCCAGGTAATGCTCCTGGTTCTAATGAGAACCACTGCATTAGGGCCATGGGAATATTTTGGAATATCTCCCTGATTGTTAGATGCCGAAGATTGTGATACCTTTCCATAACCCTTGGTACATTGGTCAGAACTAGAATTCAAGGCAGGCAGGAGAGTCCCAAGTTTTATGCATAATATTTTGTATGTCCTTATGTTCCTAAATCTAAGAGACAAGCTCTCCTTCTTGAGGGTTGATCCTAGGATCATTCAATCATTCATTCAGTAACAATTTTGGGTAGCTATTCTGTCCACAGCATTATACTCCATACTGAGAGGATCCAAAGAAAGTTAAAACACAGTTCCTAATTCCATGATGGTTTATTCTCTAAGAAGAAAACAAATGCATGAAACAATAAATAACAGGTTAAATAATTGAAGACAACAGTACAGGAGGTGGTATCAGATGGCAAAGGGCAAAGTGTTAAGTAAGTAGCATGAATCATGTGTGAGTTGATTTCAGAGAGAGGGAGGATAACTGAAACAGGCATCGACAGGGCTGTGCATTTCAGCTTAACTAGAGTAGAAAAGTTGCTACCTAGAATGGCTAAGAAGGTGCCTTCCTGAGATCAAGACCATCCAGGCCAACATGGTGAAACCCTGTCTCTACTCAAAATACAAAAATTAGCTGGGCGTGGTGGTGCGTGCCTGTAGTCCCAGCTACTCGGGAGGCTTAGGCAGGAGAATCGCTTGAACCTGGGAGGTGGAGGTTGCAGTGAGCCGAGATCGTGCCACTGCACTCCAGCCTGGCAACAGAGCAAGACTCCATCTCCAAAAGAAAGGGCCTCCTCATTTCTCATTTTTTAATGCTTCAGAGGTGAAGACTTTGCTGTTTCCCCTGATCTGAGATCTTTGTCACTTTGAGCCACTATAACAAAAATGCCATAAACAGATGGCTTAAACAATTTATTTCTTACAGTACCAGAGGCTGGAAGTCTGAGCTGAGGATGCCAACATGGCGTCAGGTTCTTGGTGAGGGCCCTGTTCCATGTTCATAGAAGCTGTCTTCTGTGTCCTCACATGGCAGAAAGTGAGCATCTCTCTCCTGTCTCTTCTAATGAGGTCGCTAATCCTATCATGAGGGCTCCACTGTCTTGGCCTTATTACCTCCCCAAGTTCCCCACCTCCTAATACCATCACATTGGGGATTAGAGGTTTAACGTGAATTCGAGGGGAAATACCCAATTAATAGCATCTGAGTTATTATAAATCAATGCTCTCAGCACTGAAGATCAGGCTATAGTGTGGTCACAAAGTGAAAAACCTGTATTCTGGAAACAAAGAAGAAAGACAAATAGTTTATAAGCAGAGATGACTTTGGGAGAAAGCAGCAGTAATTTAATAACAGAGAAAATAAAATCCAGCTTTTATTGGACTCCTACATTGCCAGGTACTTGTGCTAAATGACTGTCATGCACCAACCATTTAATTTAATTCAAACAACAGTTCATTAGGTAAATGTAGTCAAACCTCCACCTTACTACCTGTGAAAACAGAAGCTTTACAAAGATGCGTGTAAGCTTAAAGAAGTTGCCCAATTCAAATCCAGGGAGGTCTACAGGGTGGAGCCTCCTCATTCATAAATCGCGACGCCTGGCCTGCCTGATCATTCCTCAGTTTCCTTTTTATTCTTATACACTTTGAGTCAGCGAGGAAACCACAGAGGAACTCAAAGAACGAATTTTAGTGGAGGAACCTGTGGGGCCAGTGTGTCCCAAGCGCGGACAGGGAGGGGCTCCATGAAACGCAGCAAGGTTTGGCCAGAGCCTGCCGGGGTCATGGAGCCTCTCCCGGCTTCCTCGGGACACTCTAATTACAGAGTCTGTGGTAGGTTGCGTGGAGGAGCTGTCTCGGGGCGGGAAGCTTCCCTGCGTATTGTATTTGCTTATAAATACTTCAAATAGTTAAGTGAAATGTGCAGCCTTTGAAAACTGGAGAGGAAGCCGTTGGGAGGCCCCCCGCCCGGCCCGCCGGGAAGAGCAGGCAGAGAAATGGCTGGCGCGTTCTGAACGCGGGAGACGAGCTTCGGCCCTGCCCAAGCCAGATGGGGGCAGCGAGGCTGCGGGCGTGACTCCGGAAGACTCAAACCGTTAAGGTAACCCGAGCAATTTGAAAAAGGAAATAAACGTCCCCCGAGCCGTGCCCGCGTGGCTCCGGGGCGGGCAGTTGCGTTCGAAAGGGCATTTTTCAAAAGAAGGGTTTCAGGGACGCGGGGGTGTGGGCCCCCCGGGAGGCGCGCGGCCGGAGCAGTGCCGCAGAGCGTCCACCAGCCCGCTTTGTACTCCCGGCCAAGCGCGGCCCCAGAGTTTCGGCGGCAGCCAGAGTTGAGGCCACGCCCTCTTTGCAGTGAGAGCCGCGGCCACTGATTGGCGCGCCGTGGACCAATGGGTGCGACGGGGCGGCCCCGGCTGTCAGCGCGCGCCGCAGCCGCTCCTGCCGCAGCCTGTCCTCCCCTGCTCTGAGCCCCGCAGCCTGCGCAGCCTTCCCGGGAAGCGCGGCGGCTGCTTCCGAGCGCAGCCCAGCCCGGCCCGCCAGCCGCGCGTCCCGGCGCCCGCGCCCCACGGCCACAGCCTAGCCGCGCTCTAGTGCACGGAGCATGTGCAGACCCGCAGGCGCTAAGGTGCTGTCTGTCCGGGCGCCTTCTGGGCAGCGGTGACTGTCACTCCAAGAGAGACCTTTCGGGGGCTCTCGCCGCGCCTCTGCTGGGTCGCGGGTGACACTGCGGTGCTCGCGAGCAGGGCGGCAGCTGCCTCTCGGTGGAGACGTCTTGGGCCCCGTGCGCCCTTCTCTCCTTCCTTCGCTGCTCGCTCCTTTCCTCCCACGGCTGCTCGCTCTTTCCCTCGCCAGCTCAGACCCGTAGCCTCCGGAGCGGGACTCGTGCGTCCCCGTTGCCTCTGTCTTTTCCAAAGGGGCCTCCTCACTTCGGAGACTCAATGACAAGTTAATATGGGCGTCCAAACCTCTGTTTCCCAGGAGGAAAATTGCAAGAGGCGGCAGCCCCTGAGCGCCCAGAGCTCTTGAAAGGCCACCCAGGAGGGGCGTGAGACCCGGCTGCAGCATCCGTCTAGGTGGGACCCGCTGGGCGCCGTGGCCAGTCCCCCATTCCCATCCCGGCACCCCAAAGGTGCGCTCGCCAGATTGCTTCAAGTTCCCCGACCTGGGGATTTTTTCTTCGCCGCTGGTGGTGGGCGCCTCGTGGGCTAAGGCCCGGCGCCTGCTCTGCTACCCGCGCTGCCTTTAGCGGTCGCCCCCGCCGCCGCTGCCAGGGACGTGCTGGGAAAGCCCAAGCCCCGGGAGAAGATGCCGGCCATCCTGGTCGCCTCCAAAATGAAGTCGGGACTGCCCAAACCCGTGCACAGCGCCGCGCCCATCCTGCACGTGCCCCCGGCCCGGGCCGGCCCCCAGCCCTGCTACCTCAAGTTGGGAAGCAAGGTGGAGGTGAGCAAGACCACCTATCCTAGCCAGATCCCCCTGAAATCGCAGGTGCTGCAGGGGCTGCAGGAGCCAGCGGGGGAGGGGCTCCCGCTGCGGAAGAGCGGCTCGGTGGAAAACGGGTTCGATACCCAGGTGAGAGATGCCGTGTGCCGGGGGTACTGCTCTGGGAGGATGGGCGAATACTTCTTTCCGGGTGATGTGGGAGAAAGGGCCTACCATGTGGGCAGGGAAGGGAACCATTCCCCTTAGGCCGGCAGGTTGGGGAATGCGTGAGGAGAGTGGGCCGGCCGGTGGGTGTGGCCCGGGTGCCCGAGGTTTGCCTAAAGAGCCCTTTGAGAACTGGGATCGGGGGAAGGCCGGCAGCATCTTCCTGGGGAGGAGGGCATGATCGGGGTGTTCTCAGAAAACGTGTGCATCGCTGGAAATGTGAGGTCCTGCATGTTGAGGTCTTGTCCCCAAGAAGCCAGTATCCGCAGCAACAGCTGTGTGTGTGTCTGGCGATTCCGCAGAGATTCTGTTCCGGACAAGGAATGATCTGAGGCCCCATTGGGTTCGACGCCGCCCCCTAGCCTGGCTATAAGATCCAGGAAAAGGGGGTTGGGGGGTGGCAGTGAACCTGCGCTCCCCTTGGCTTGAAGATGGCCTGTCCCTGCCCCGCCCTGCTGGGTGACGGGATTCCGGGCAAGGTGCTGGAACTGCGGTACTAGTGCACCAGCAGAGCGCCTTGGCTGGCTGTTGCGGTGGGGGTGGCTGCCTCAGAATGGCGGCTGAAACTAAGCGCCTCCTTCCTGGGTGGTAGATGCTGGTGTTGGTAGCCCGAGTGACTGGGGGTGGGGACGGGAGATGGCTTGAAGAGAATTGGTGACTCCTACCTTTCCAGTCAGAGCCTGCATCACCCAATTCGGCAGGGTGACAAGCCCTGCCCGTGCAATCTCTTTTACAGAGATTAGCAAGGGCCAGTCAGGTTCTCTTGGCCCTCCCTGCTCCATTTCCCCCTACTTCTGGTAGGAGGGGGCTATATTTTCTTGGCAGTCAGTCAGCAGGGACTTTTGGGGACATGCCGACCTGACGGATGTGACTGTCCAGTCAGGAGATGCGGGAAGCCAGAGAGGGAGGTGGTTTGGGGCTGGTGTCAGGAAAATGGCAATAGACCAACTGACCTTTTTGGCACTTACTTCCCTGCTGACACTGTCTCTACCTTCTCCTGGAGCTTTCTCTGATCAGAGGCTAGAGCTCAACACATTCCTAGGCTTTCTGATGGGGGAACTGGAGCTGGAAGCTAATTGTAAGCAGACTTTTGTAACTCTGGGCTGGAGAAGGCCCTCAAAGCAGATTAAGCTCCCACACCAGGCTGATAAGCATGCCCCTTGTTGCTGCACTTGCTAAACATTTTTGGAAGCTGACAGGTTTGAGTGATGGTGTGTGGGAGGAAGGCAAGATTTCCTTCAGTGCTCTGGGGGCCTGCCTTTGTGAGGGTTTTGTGCTCCATTCTTCTTTGGTTGTTAGGTACAGGATTTGTCCAGTGGGCTCTGCAATGGGGGTGAGCACCAGGGTACATTCCTGCATGGGGTTCCCCTTCATCCGTGGAGGTAGGGTTTATGAGGTGTAGTGGGCAGTGAGTGGGAGGTCGGTACAGTGACTCGGAACTGGAGGTGACACATACTCTCGAGCCTGATGAGGAGCACCCGAGGAATGAGAGGGAAAGTCCATGCTGGGATTGTTCATATCCAGGCAGCTGTTCTGCCTTTGCCTGTTTGACCCTTCATTTAACAAACATTGTCAGAGGACTGGCAGTGGATAGGCTGTGGTAAGGTGATTCATCACCCTCTCCCTGAAAAAAACAATGTTCTTCAGCTTCTCCCTGGGGGCCTGGAACAGTCCACTTCCCTCAACACTTTGCTTCCCTCTTTTGCCCTTGGTCCATCATCTCCCCACCCCATTCCACTCTGTCACCCTCAGTTGGCCCTTGTGTACTCATGTTGAGCACAGTTTGGATAGACTGCTAAGGAAATTGGTCACTTCCAGTGGACTACCCTGATTTTTACCAGCCTGCCCTCCTTTGCCAGTGCCCAGTGATTTCGGCCAATGGGATTTTACCTTCTTTGCCAGGGCTTCTTCCACAGTCTGCCTGATGTGGTGTCCATTCCCCCTCCAGAAGAGTCTCTTGGTTACTGCATGAAGACTGTGTCTGACTGGCCATCTGGTGGTTACCAGGTCCCAAATCTGGTATATATTATTAGAAAAGACTCGGGAAACAATGAAGTAAATGGCAAATGCTCTCTTGGGGTCTCTGACTCCCCTTTTATTCAGGGAATTTTTGGTAGGAGGTTGGGTTGTGTAGTGGCTGATAACAGGTTTTAAAGTCAGATGGGTATTGGTGGTGTCCTTTGTCATGTACTAGCAGGTGATCTCCTTGATTAACTTCTTTGGGTTTTAGGGCTCTCATCTATTAAAAAATAAGCATAAAAACCACTAGAACTGTGAGCATTAAGAAAAGTAACATGTAAAGTATTCAGTGCAGTGTCTAGCAAGTAAGGAATACTTAATAAAAGTTGCTATTTATATTGCTAACCTAAGAGATAGGGCATGCTGAACCTAGATTTAATAGCCCCTAGGTGAGAAAAGATATAGCTTATTCTCTCAAGCCCCTGGAAAGGTATCAGTCTGTTCCAAGGATTTACAGAACATCCATCACCTGCCTAGTACAGTACCAGGCAGAATGGGAAGATGAGGAAAGGTCATAATCACTTACTGAGTGCCTGATGGGTGAGGCTCTTTACATATAATCTCATTTCATCTTCAGAAAAACACTTAAATCAGGTCTGATACATCCATTTTCTATGACAATAACAACATAGTAACAATAATAACAATGGTGATAATGGCCAAATCCTTATATAGCACTTCCTATGTGCCAGCAGTTGTTCTAAGGACTTTACATTAAAAAACTCATTTTTTTCTTATCACAATCCAATGACATAAGTGTTATTATCCCCATTTTACACATATGGAAACTGAGGCAAAGACCAATTTTGTAACCTTGTGAGTAGCAGAGATAGAATAGAACTTGGACAGTCTGGCTCTAGATCCCATGCCTTTAACCATGATGCTGTACAGGGAGAACCACAGAGACTGTCTTAGAAATTGCAGGCTCTGATTTATAAGACCACTGCTGTAACCACTGAGCTAGATGAGGCTCAGCAAGGTACAGCCACTTGATCCAGGTCATCCAGGGTGGCAGGGCAGGGAGTCCAGCAAAGTTGGTCTGGCTTCAAGGCCTGCGGTCTGCCCACTCTTCATTGCTGCCTCTTCCCATCATGCTCTGGCAGATCTACAAGGCAAACAGGACATGGCCTGGGTCTTGGGGATTTTATAGTCTAGTTGAGAGGCCTCACTGACACCTAGGGCAACAGGGCACAACACAGGGAGGCCTCAGAGGCATACTTGGGGGCGGAGTATCTAAGCTGCTTGAAGGAAGGCCAAGATTGCTGGAGAAGTCAGAGAACCAATGGAGGAGAAAGAAGATGAGCTTGGTTTGGGAGACGGGAAGGAGTGACTGGTGAGGAGGAGAGGAGATCAGAATGAGTGTGATAGTGGAGAATGAAGAGCAAGGTCATGGAGTGGTGCCAAGCATTGATGTTGCTTCGTGCAACAAGTTGTTGTTCCAGATCTGGCATCTTACTTTGAAAAAAGATGATGAAAAGAAAAGACAAAAGCTGAGTTGAAGGATTGGATTTGCATGTTGGCTTCCTGATGGATCATCATTCTGAATGTGCAAGGTAGTGTGAGAAGAGGCAGAGAGGGTGTCCATTAAGGACCTGATTCATAACAGATCCTTGGGAAATGATGATGATGATGATTAGCTTGGGGTTCAGAGTATTCAACGTGGTAGTTACAGGGGAAAGGAGGCTATTCTGACACCTTGTTTTATTATGCAGCAACTGTCTTCAGCCAGTGGCATCCCATTACCTGCCATCTTCATCTCCATCAAGTGTGGAAAAACCTAACTTAGCCAGCAAGTAGCTGTTAGGTGCAGCCCTACTGTCACCCTTCCTCCAGGCCCCTTACCTTGAGTCTGTCCCATAAACCTACAGCTGGTGCTCCTCCCTCCCCCAGTGGAGGAAACTGCTCTGCAGCAGCACACCTCCCCTGAATTACCTTCCGAGGACTGAGATACCTGTCTGTGCCTTCCCCCAAGTGTGAACATTTATAGCATTTGCTCTGTTAACATGTGAATAAATTAGGACCATGTGCAAAGAGTTGTTTTAAAAACATGCTCTGTGTTTGTTCAGAAACCCTCTCTGGCTGACCTTCAGATAAGGAACATGCCTGAGCTATTTGAGGAGACGTTCGCCTATTTTTAAGAAGCAGTTGCAAGGAGAAAAAGAAAAATATATACATATAGGAAGTATTTTGATATTTCCTGTTTTTAGGAGCTGGTGTTCAACTTGCACCTAGTTTAAGAAAAGTAATTAGAAGTAATTGAAATTCTCTGTGGGTGTTTCAGATGTTTAAAAAGAAAGTGTAAAGGAGGCTCCTGGGAAGAGTGTAGCTCCAGGCTTACAACCTGGGGCAACTTTGCACCATTGTGTTTTGATTAGAATCCTTGCTCCATCATCAAAGTT